CAAATAAGGAAACTTCAAGAAGACAAGGTACGTACACTTACTACTTACATGAAGGGATTGAGAACTTACAAGTATGTCGTAGCATGTTCATAAATAAATTAGATATAGACGAAGCAACACGTGTTTCTACTAAGAAAATAGTAAAGACTAGATATACCGAAAGTCATAAATAATTGGAACAATTTTTTGAGAGTTAACTCCTTCACATACGACACGGGTATGCGACCCGCATACCCGTGTGGGATGCGGGTCGCTAAAAAGAATACACCCACAGTATCTCCTACTGGTCGTAAGAGGCGAACGCAGGAGCAGCTGACCGCTGTCCTTACCCAACATTCCATCTCGTCCCATACCCATTTAGTTACCAAGAACCTATCTCAGCCACACCCCGAGTGTCGGATGAGTCCCTTTGACCGTGTTTGAGTGGAAGAGGTCCTTTTTGCGCGGGGGGTGTGTGGCATATACATGTCGCGCACCCCACACACAAACTGCGTAACTTGCGCCTCTCCCCATTCACACACTCCTAATTTCCTCAGGGTAGCGGGTAGAGACTCGTCTATAAACCCAATAGGTGATAGTCCTACTTCAGGTATGCGACCCTGCCCACGCGAGCCTTGGCATATCTACTAAGTCCAAACAGTAGATACCACTGTCCTTTCCTATTAACCCTGTCTAAACAAATTCCCTTATTAGCACTCCCAACCAAAGGGGAAGGCAACGGGAAACCACCCCTTTATTTCACCCACGAAAGTTCATGATATGAGCAATAGCTGCGAGGCCTCGGATGATGAGCTTCGCGATCCGGATGGCACCCGGCGCATCTTCTCGTCCGGGGAGGAATGTGTGAAATCAGTTACCGGGCATGTAGACGTGACTCATCAGGCTTTACATGCGAAATGTGCTACTGGTGAAAAACAAAAACTTAATAACCGCAAACCATACAACATAGCTACATGGAATGTCCGTGGTCTTTTACAACCGGGCAAACAAGCTATTCTGGAGAAGGAACTGGAACGAACCAATATCTCTGTGGCCGGGCTCTCTGAACTTCACTTCCGCAACGAGGGGCACTACATAACTAATTTGGGACATTTCATGTGCTTTTCCGGCAACACTAACAAAAGTATCAATGGTGTTGGCTTCTGGGTTTCAAAATCTCTTTCTCCCTATATACTGGGATATCAAGCTATCAGTGATCGTATAATTTCCTTAAAACCAAATGGATCTCCCTCTATTGTACATTTGATTCAGGTCTATGCGCCTACCTCAACTGCTGATGATGATACAACTGAATCTTTTTTCAACGAGCTGGAATCATATCTGCAAAATATCCCAAATAAAGAAATCGCTATCATCATGGGTGATTTAAACTCAAAAATCGGTGTTACTATGGCTGACGAACATATACGAAATATTGTGGGTAGATATGGAATAGGTGAACGCAATTCAAGGGGAGACCGCCTTATCCAGTTCTGCGTTGACAATGACTTGACAATAATGAACTCTATGTATAGGCACCACCCCAGAAGATTGTACACTTGGATCTCACCTAACGGACGACACCGAAATCAGATCGATTACATAATGATTAAACATCGCTGGAAAACATCTATTAGCCAATGTAAAACACGACCTAGCGCTGACTGCGGCTCTGACCACCAACTTCTTGTTGCAACGCTAAAGCAAAAATTCAAGGCATGTGCTAGGATCCGAAACAAGAGGATATCAAAAATAAAAGATACACAACAATTTAAAATCCAATGTAATGAAAGATTCGAAAATATTTTACCAACTATCGTCACTCATGATTCCGAAAAGATTTGGTTATCTTTTAAAAATACCTTGATACAGACCTTGACTGACTGCGAGGCACAGTCTAATGCCGTCTCAACCGGACCAAAAAAAGTGTGGATGTCTGCAGATACTTTTGACCTCGTTGAAGAACGTAGAAAACTTAAAATTGCTGGAATCGAGAACCCTCTCAGGAATTCCCAGTACCGACAGCTATCTAGAGCTATTCAGGCTGCTTGTAGACGAGACAAAAACAAGCATATAGAGAAAATCTGCAGAGAAATTCAACTACACGCCGACACAAATAACACCAAAGAACTCTTTGATAAAGTCAGACAACTCACACGTAAATTCAAGCAGAAATCTTGGTCTATCAAAGATGATGAAGGTAATGTACAGACGGATTTGGACAAGGTTATTGATGTTTGGAGGGCGTATTGTAAGTCTTTATACGCCAATACGGACCAGATGCCAGCGGACGCCCCGTTTGTACCTGACTGCCAGACCTCCACTTTCCATTCTCCTTCAACAGAGACACACCACACTAGTTTTGAGTCTGAACCTGACATACTTTTTTCCGAGGTGGAATTCGCTTTAAAAAGACTTAAGTTAAATAAAGCAGCAGGATATGATCTCATTACTGCAGACGTCTTGAAGCATCTTCCGGAATGTGGAGTGAAAATATTACATCGATTGTGCAATGAAATATGGCACACAGGCGTCTGGCCTGAGGATTGGAGAAAGACCATAATCATACCTCTTCATAAGAAAGGTTCAACAAATAATTGTAACAACTACAGGCTATTAGCTCTAATATCACACGCCAGTAAGGTGATCCTCTACATACTGCAACGGCGTCTAGAAAACTTCATAAGTTGGCAAATAGCACCTGAGCAGGCTGGATTTGTAAAGGGCAGAGGTACTAGAGAACAAATCCTTAATGTACGAAACATCATAGAAAAAGCCAGAGAATACCAGATCCCGATATTTATATGTTTCGTCGATTATACAAAGGCCTTTGATAATGTTAGATGGGACAAACTATGGAACATATTGACGACAATGGGTGTACCTAAACACTTGACTCACCTTATTAGCAAACTGTATCAAGATAACCTGGCATATATTCGAATGGACGGATATCTGTCTGACAAATGCACTTTGGAGAAGGGAGTACGCCAAGGATGCGTTTTATCTCCCTTATTATTTAACATCTATTCGGAGTTCATAATGCGCAGAATTTTGGATGGTTGGGAGGGAGGAGTAAACCTAGGTGGTGTTAAGATATCTAACTTGCGTTTCGCAGACGACACTACACTTCTAGCTTCTACTCCAGAAGAAATTACTAAATTATTAAAAAAACTCGAAGTAGAAAGTGCTAAATTTGGACTCATGGTTAACTACAACAAAGCCAAAATCATGGTTATTGATCGCCAACAACAGTTTCCTGAAACCCAAACTATTGCGGGATGCGAGGTAGTCTCATCTATGATATATCTTGGAGCTCTAGTAAACAACACAGGCAGTTGTGAATCCGAAATTAGAAGACGCATTCAACTAGCAAGAGCAGCAATGAGTGAACTAAACGGGGTCTGGCGTGATCGTCACATTACTATGACAAACAAAAAGAGACTCGTTTCAACTCTGGTCTTTTCCATATTTTACTATGCATGCGAGACATGGACAGTCAAAGAATCAGATCGACGACGTATAGACGCCTTTGAAATGTGGACATGGAGACGCCTGCTTCGAATTCCATGGACGGCTCGCCGTACAAATATCTCGGTTCTGGATGAAATTAAACCGGATCAGCGTCTCTCTAGTACCGTTTACTCTAGGATTTTAAAGTTCTTTGGCCATATCCATCGAAGTGATCACAAAATGGAGCGGTTGGTGGTCCAAGGAAGGCCTCAGACTCAACGCCAACGCGGAAGATCTCCACAGCGATGGGCGGACATTACTAAAAAGCTTCTCAATAAACAGTATACTGAGGCAATACATATAACTGATGACCGCGACCAGTGGAGAAATATTATCAATCAAACTGTCCGAGCTGCTGAAGCCCAATTATGAACCACAACACATCTACTAAGATGTTAATGACTGTGATGATGATGAACTCCTTCACACTATTAACTGGGTCACTCTCAAATAGAATGTGACTCGGTACATAGTATGAAGAAAGAAGTCTTAAAAATAAGGAAATTCATTTACCCAGTGACTATGCTTCCATTACTGCTCAAGCAAGAATGGGAACTAAGCCATATAGAGTCAAAATATTAGACCATACGTTTTTTAAAGACTATTTATCCAACTACATGCGATATTTCTCAATCCCACCAGGAACAAAAGCGTATGATCCAACTATTACTGATATAAAATGTATCAAATTCGATCCAGTTGGGACCATAGAAAGTCCCTATCAGGCCAAAGATTATTAATTACTATTTAACTGGGAATAAGCCACAATTAAAGGTTAAAATACGTTTATTGACGTTTCAATTTCCACTTCGGAAATCGTTCTCAAAATACAAACTGTAAATTTACTGTTTGTATTTTGGCGCAAGACCAAGACTGTCTAAGTCTCGTCTTGTTCTTGCATTTGGTCAACACTAGAGATGTGTTGCGATTTCGCTAACTGCTACTTTGTCACTGTTCACCTTCAGTCGCAATCACAGGTTGCTCCGGTTTAAAAAAAATCACTGCTACATTTTGTCGCAGTTACGTTTCAACGGTCCGATCAGAACGGTGACGAAGGAACAGCGCCAAGCTGTGAAAGATCGAACATTCAATAATTGCGATTGGCGATTGCGACTGTGACTGTGATTACTGACAAAGCGATGCGCTCCTTTGCTTGCAGTGATGACAGTGACGCTTTTCCGTAAATACGCTTACAATATGTAGATGTTTTGGTTGGATCATTATTGTTTTATCAACAAGAACAGCTGTTCTTAATAAAAATGAATTGCGTATTTATTTCAATCTTTTATAAAATGAAAGTTATAAATAATAAATAATGTCATTGCGTGCACATTATTAAGAAAATTAATTATAATAATTATAATATACAATATTATTAGAAAAATATTAAGATTTTATTTAAAAACAAGAAAATTTCATGACAACCTAAAAAATATAAGAAGCATTAATTACAGCAAAGAGAAATTATGAAAATTTTTATTACATTAATAAAAATTGTCGATGTTGAATTAACACTCACTATTTACATTTAGGAACATTATATTCTTAACATTTGTAGAACTAAGTCTTGATCGTCTTTCTGATAAAAGCTGTCCAGATTTGGAAAAGACACGTTCACAGGGAACTGAGGTTGCAACTGTTCCGAATTTGTCTATAACGACTTTGGACAAATTTGGAAAATTGTAAGAACACCTTTGCCACCACTTCAATGGGTCCTCATGTCTGTCAATCAAATCTTCTTCTAAATACCTCTGAACCTCAATTATTGCTCTTGACGTGGCCGGAGCTGAGCAGCTTTTCTTTGTGGAAACAAGTTTTTTATCCAAAAATCCCCATACTGATGGCATCATCGAAAGTGTTTTCTCATTTCTATTGTCATCTGAATTGATTAATTCAGGAGCAGTAGAGAGTTCGTTGATTTTGTGGGCAACTAAATTAATTACGAGCTTTTTGGCCCTTTCTGCATTACTTTCACTACAAAACCCATAGTTTTTAAATCGCGGGTCTAAAAACGTAGACACAATCAAACTCTTTGAATTTTCTAGGAAAGGTAATCGCTCTGAAATACCAATTAAAAACTTAGTGATCATGTTTAGTATTAAGGGTGACAATTTTTCTTTTTTCATGTCATTATATGTGTTTTCAATTCCATTCGTTAAAATTATTACAGATGATAATGTAACATATTTTTGACCAGAAATAATTTTAGTCACTTCTTCCATTGGTTGTAAGACTTTTTTAATATCGCTTAGCAACTGCCACACCTCAACAGATATAATGGGTAAATTAGTACTGTTTAGAAGTGCGACTGTTGAGCGAACAATTTCCTCCATCTGTAAGATTCTTTCCAACATGTAAAAAGTGGAATTCCACCGTGTTGGTACATCTTGTAACAATTTCAGAGGCTCCTTACCCGATTGGTTCTGTATTTCGTTCAGTTTCAGCATAGCCAATGTACTGCGTTTGAAATGTGCTACTAGTAACCAAACTTTGTTGATAGTAGGCTCTGCTTCCTCAAGGCCATCCTTCACAATAAGATTAATGGTATACGCGTAGCATCCAAAATGTGGCCATTTCAATTCTTCTCTAATAGCTTTTTTGATATTGGCAGCGTTATCAGAAATCGCTATCAAAATTTTATTTTCTAAACCCCACTCAGTTGTAATCCGATTCAATTCAGAAGCCAAATTAACGCTAGTGTGAGCTTCGTGAAATGAGCTACATTCAAGTAAAATAGATTTTGGCTCAAACTCTTTGGTCACAAAATGAATAGTGGTAGCCATAAAACTCTCAGTATTTATCGATGTCCAACAATCAGTAGTAATAGTTACGGAGCTTACAGTTTTTACCATGTCCCGTACATTGTGGAGTTTTTCTTCATATAATGCTGGTAATAAAGTGTTTGTAACGTATTTTCTACTTGGCAGTTGGTATGCTGGATTTAAAGTATTTACAAAATGTCTAAAGCCCGTATCTTCAACTAAACTAAATGGTTGCAAATCTATTGTAAACAATCTCATTAGGGCATTGTCAAACTTTTTCTTCGAATGAATATTTATTAATTTAGTGGTATACGGAATTGAAGTCTGAATTTTGCTTCTGACATTTGACTCCTGACTATGACCTGCCGAAGAAGATATACTCGTACATAAAGATATGGATGGTTCAGAGTTACCTGGTTGAATAGGATTAACTTGGGTGGTAGTAGCTATTTGTACCGGTCTCGATAAAACACTGGTTCTTAAAGTTAGATCTGGTGATAATTTTACTAAAGGATGCTTTCTTTCAAAATGTCTTTTTAAATTGGTGGTTGATGTTTTATAACTAAGTACTTGCTTACATATATTACACATGGCGTTAGCTTGGTCTTGGGGTGTGAAAAACTTCCAAATATGCGCCGTCTTTTTCCTATCCATCGCTATCACTGAAACTACACACCAATTTAAAATTTTTCAACAAATTATAAATCGTAAAACAGCTTTAAACAATTTTCGTTATATGTTGCGTAATCGCTATACTATATGACTGAATGGACATACTGTTTTACAGTTCGGGGATTCCAAGAACTTAGAGTTGCGAGGTGGTCACATATAAACTAAGACAGAATAAGTTATAACCGAGTACCATGTATTTTAAAGACATAAAATTATTACAGCCTAACAGTATCATTGATATCGCTATAATATTTCTAATACTACAAATAAATTTAAAATACTTTAAAAGTAGCAATCTCCCAACATCTACTCGATATAGCGCAATCGCAATTTCGCAGTATTACATGCTACTCGGTAATAGAATCAGAAAGCAGCGTTTATAGGACCAAGGTCAACTGCTCCGAAAAATCACTGCGATTTGTCACAGTGACGTAGCCGGAGCAATCGCATTCTGTCACTGCTCCAAAGAAATCGCAGATTAGCACATCCCTAGTCAACACTACTGGTAACTGGTTTTTACTCAGGAAGGCCTGTATAGAGAGGTCCACAAACTCCGTGGAAGTTTGGTTTCTTAGACTTCAAGTGCTTCAGAACGGACAGTTCCTGCAACAGCTTTGACTAGAAAACTGCTAGATGTTCATGGTACCACGATTTCGCCTGACACCGTACATCGAAGAGAAAGCTATCAAAATTTATCATCTGTGCCTGCTATAGATTCTTTATTGGGCGCAGCTCATCGAAGACAACGCTTGGAATTCTGTCGTGCTCATGCAGATTGGAAAATGGAAGATTGGAGAAACGATCCGTTTTACAGACGAATCTCGTTTTACGAGATATTTACTTGGTGGCTGCCAAAGAGAGTGGAGAAGGCCTGGAGAAGGTTATTCGTAATATTGCTTCTCTCCTAGAGTACAGTTTGGTAGTGGAGGTATAATGGTATGGGTCCGTATTTCTGTGGAAGCACATACATATATTATTACGTTGGGGGAAGATATCCAAATGCTGATAGCTACTGGAGGGTGCCGGTTTACAACATCCCTTCCATGGAGAGGCTTATATGCAACAGTGTCTCTTTCAGCGGCTTTGTTCTTGCTGTAAGCCCAATTAGTCCGCTAGCCTTGGACAGCTCAGTAGAGAAACTAAAATGGACTTTCAAAGTTGCTTTTATCTGGCCTGTTGAATTGATATAGTGAAATAAAACAATTACTTGTTTAGAAAGAAACTGTAATTGAAATAAGAAAGGGCAAGAAATAGAGCTTATAAAATTTGAGTGTGTAACTTATCGTAGGAACTTAATTTGAATATTACAATTTGCGAACGAAAGCGAAAACACCATAACACTGATTCACATATTACGGCTTCCCGGTCAATTGCGTAAACTGCAACGTGGAGAATCCTCTCCGAACTTTTGAAATATAGATGTTAGCCCTACGAAAGTCGCTAAATCACTGTAGGTGTCGACTGGTCGCATCCCTCGCCCCGCCGGAATATTTTTTTGTTTATGCATTTTGAAAAGCCGGTCTGTCGTCAAGAAGGCGCTGTGGGCGGGGATTAACATTCTCAGAAACACGGTCTAGGTAGACTGGATTTATTTAGGTAACCGGCGCGAAAATAGAATTATTTGATACAAAATAGAATTATTGGTTTGGAGATATATTTCTCCAACAGCTACATTAGGGAATGTTTGGATCTAGCTAAAGTTGCCACAGCAAAAATGACCAAAATATGGAAGGACTGTCAAATTTCAAGAGCGATAAAGATGAGGTTGATCAACTGCTTAATATTCCCAATACTGACCTACGGATGTGAATCTTGGACTCTGAGACAATCGGAGAGAAGAAAGATAGACGCCACTAAAATGTTCTGTTGGAGACGATTGTTACGAATTCCTTGGACCGACCGTAGAACAAATAATTCAATTTTAAGAGAGCTTAAAGTTAGCCAACGACTCTAATAAAGTCCATCTCCAACAATTAAAATATTTTGGGCATGTTATGAGAGCAAACACAGAAAACATGGAAAGACTCATAATACAAGGAAAGGTAGAAGACCGAAGATCACGAGGAAGATCCCCAACAAGATGGATAGATCAAATTACAGGAATATGCCAAAGACCTATGCATGAATTAAAAGAAATGACCAGAGACAGAGATCTCTAGAGACGGACAATACACGACATCACGTCGACCACTACACTCCCCCTGGGGGGTCAGGATTGAAGAGAGATAGGTGAAAATGTTCTCTTAATGCAGGATAATGCTGGATATTTGTGGGACAACTTGGGAAGAGTATTTAGGCAAAATTATGGCGAGTTTGAGACTATGGTAGCGTTAGAACAGGAGGTAATAACTGAGTGGGGTCAAATACTGCGAAACGAGATTGCTCGTTTAAAAATTATAAAACATTTCTAAAATTTGGATACTAAAAGCGATCAAGTATTTCTTCCTCGAGCTCGAATCTCATATCTTACTCCTGAATAAAAAAAGTGTTTAATTTTTATTTGTTATTACATAAGTCAATACTTTAAATTTTTTTTTGTATTGTATGGTTTGTTATTAAAGATACAATAAAGATAATTTATTGTAATTTGAGTTTTTCTAATACTCTTTGATTTACCTAAAATAAACTTAGTGTCCGGTTACTTTTGCGAGTCAGTGTACATTACATAGATATGTATATGTACACAGATAATACAGAAATTAAACGTACAAATACCTTGGAGCGTGGATCACAGAAGATACTGATCAGACAAAAGAAAAGATGCCGCATTGAAATTGCGCGGTCAACTTTTAATAGAATGAGAAAACTTTTTTGTAATCGCGATATCAATATATCGCTCCGGATAAGAATGCATCGATGTTATATTTTCTCTACCCTTTTGTATGAAGTTGAAGCTTGGACACTTAAAAAATCCAACATTAAAAACCTAGAAGCATTCGAAATGTGGTGTATTTTGAAACCGACGTATTTTGAAAATATCATGGATGGATCGCAAAACAAACGAACAAGTTCTCGAACAACTAGGAAAACAATGCGAAGTTTTAAAATCCATAAAAATCAGGAAATTGGAATACTTGGGGCACATCATGAATGTGAATTCATGATGTGCCCCAAGATCACAGAATTACCTCAGAATTTTCAACATGGCTATTTGCCTTCAAGATCAAGGCCAATTAAGTCACCCATCAAGTTTAAAAAACATAACCGCTAAACATGTTTCGGTTATAAATAATGACACCTCACTACTTTTTTTGACATAACCTTTTTTGAAAATGATTTCCTTAGTGGAAATCGAAAGATCAAATCTATAACAGGTTGACTGCCACAAAAAAGGTTTAAAAAAGTCCATGGTACCAAGTTGAAAAAAGGGCATCTGGCAACCAATGGAAATACTTCCATTACTAATATTTCACCAATTTCATTTATTATTCCCAATTTTTGAAAAAATATGTCAGCGGTCGAATACGACCGCCGGGGCGTAGGCAGCATATTTATTCCCATGGTGCCAAGTGGTCGGTCGGGCGGTCGTTCTGTACTGATACTAATTATTACCAATTGTCTTATTTTGCAGCAACAATTTAATTTTATAATGTTTAGAATACACCATTTTAAAGATTTTTAAATGTTTTAAAAGACAAAATTTTGTAATTTTATCTCAAAGTACCTTTTTAATGGTAAGTAAAAAACTAGAAGAAAAAATGCATTTTCCCACTTAATTGTTAATAACTAAAAACAACACCGAATGATGTATAGGTATATTAGCTAATGCTCTATAGGTAAAAATATTAACTAAGCAAATTAATGTATATACTTGGTTTCTTCCAAAGTCTCAGGAAAAACTTGCTTAATTGGGGTATTAGCAAAATTATAAAGAACATGGAAGCCAATCAACGAGAGAATAATTAAAATGCATAGAGACATATACGGTAAAGAAACAGTGATACTCGGAGTATATGCACCAACAGACGATTCCCGAGAGTAGAAAAAGAACATTTCACGGAACAACTTCAACATCAAATAGAGCTAATTAAGAAGAACGTGGAGATAATAATAGCAGGAGACCTTAACGGCAAAACCGGAAGGAAAGAATACGATAAAGTAGTGGGGAGATTTGGAGAGAGATTCTTCAGACATAAAAATATTCATCAAGAAACACGAAAGCTGAAATCGATAATAGACAACATAATAATCAAACAAGATACCACAATAAAGATCAAAGATGTGTGAGTCAGAAGAGGAGCAGAATGTGGAGCGGACCATAAACTACTGACAGCAAAAACGGGCATTAATTGGAAACATAACAAGACCCCCTCTACAGAAGAACCGTTGAACACTATAAGAGAAAAACAATACAACATAGAACTACTCCAAGAACAATCAATAAGAGAACTATACCAACAACGTCTAGACCAAAAATTAATAGAATTTAGATACGGCAACACCGAAGAAATTAACGAGCATATAAAGGCGAGTATAAAATAAGCAGCATTCGAAGCCCTTAGAGAAAAAGAACATATAAATAAACAGCACTATTATGAAATAAATGAACCAACCAAAAGAAAAGAAAAAAAAGCAACTATACAGAAAATGGCTCGCTACAAACAACGATGAAGTTTATAAAGATATAGAGAAAAAGATAGAGAAGTGAAAAAACAAATAACACAACAAAAGAATGAAGAATGGGAAAGAACCTGCTTAAATATTGAAACATACATAGGAGCTACAATAACTTCGGAGTCATGGAAAGTACTGAGAGGATTGAAACAAAACTCAAAAGAAAAAATTAAATTGGGAAATATACAGGACAAAGAATGGAAGGATTATTACAGGGAGCTGTTAACAGAACAAAGACCACAATTCATTGGAAAATAAAACGGGCGAAGACGAAGCAGATCCACATAACATGAAATAGAAATAACAGATAGGGAAATGAGAACGGCCATAGAAGCAATCAAAAATAAGAAAGCACCGGGACCTGGAAGCATCTCACCTGAGCTTATGAAATACGGATCAAAAAAATTACACCGGATGATACAATGGATATTTCAGAAAGCCATAAATGGAAAACAGCTCCCAAAAGAATGGACGGAGGCATATATGACATCTATATTTAAGAAAGGAGATAGAAAACGATGCGAAAACTACAGAGGAAGACGCGTAATATCATCAATAGGAAGATTATATGGGAAGATACTGCGAAAAAAGATAGAGCAAAAGATAAAAGGCAAAATCAGGGAGGATCAGGCAGGCTTCACGGCAGGAAGATCATGCTTAGACCACATATACACACTGAAACAACTGTTGGAAAAGAAAAAAGCAAAAAATAGAGATATACATTTGGCATTTGTGGACCTGAGAAAGGCGTATGACTCTGTATCAAGGTCAGAACTATGGCAGGCAATGTACAATTTAAAAATACAGATGTAACTCATAGAAGCTACAAAAGATCTGTATAAGGGAGAGCGCCCACCAAAGTGTCGTGGCAGTGGCAAGTAGCAAGTAGCACGCGTCTAGCATAATGTAACCAATCCTAACGAATGATTAGAATGAATGACGTTACTGTCATTTTGGTGTAAACTGAATCATTCGTTTTCATTGGTTACATTATGCTAGACGCGTGCTACTTGCTACTTGCCACTGCCACGCCACTTTGGTGGGCGCTCTCCCTAAAGAAAATAAAGTGTCCATTAAAGTGGGAACAAGAATCATAGGAGACTTCATCACAACAAAAGGGCTCCTGCAGGGTTGTTCCACATCTCCAACCCTATTCAAAATATACTTATGAGAAAGTAGAATATACCAAGGCTGGCCTAGATGTTAACCTCGCGAAAACAGAGTAACTATCTACAAGTGAAGAAGACATAGGACATCTACAGATTGATGACAACGTAACAATCAAAGGAAAGGATAAATTCAAATACTTGGGGTTTATAATCACGAAAAAGGCAACAACAGAGGAAGAAATTACACAAAGATTTGGACAAACAAAAACAGCAATCCAACAACTCAACTCAGTATGGTGGGATAGACACCTAAATCTAAAGACAAAAACACAGATTTATAAAACATTAGTGCGAAGTATTATAACATATGGGGCTGAAAATTGGATTATAAATAAGAAAAACAGATTAAAAATAAGAAAAAGATTATAAATAAGATAGTAGCAACAGAGATGGAATGACTGCGAAGATGCTGCAGAGTAACTAGAATGGATAGGAGAAATAATGACGAAATAAAGCAAAGAACATCAATAGAAACAGACATACTAACATATAGAACAAAAGAGACTAAAGTGGTATGGACATGTAAGAAGAACTAGCGACAGCAGATGGATAAAGAGAATAACCGAATGGAGCCCCATAGGAAGGAGGAAAAAAGGATGACCTCGAAGATCCTGGAGGAACGAAGTAGACGACGCCATGAGTAAGAGAGGTCTAAATGATGGAGAATGGAACAACAGAGAGAGATGGAAACGGTTAAGCGAGGGAAGGCAGTGAATACTGTAGAAAAAATTAAACAATAGGATCTAGTAAAAATACCAGCAGATAAATTTTATATTATATTAGTTAACTTAAAAGAAAATAAAACATATTTACTTAGTCTAAAGCAATATTATAATAATTAGTAATGGTAACTATATAAACTAATAAAAATTTTAAAGTTTACATGAAATGACAAATTAAAAAGTCCTTAATGACAAATATATATAGCATTATACACTTAAATTAAACTAACAATAACCCAAAATTACCAAATATCTGTACCCTGGGGTCAAAAGTTGTCAAATCCAAAGGTTGTCAGGAAAGGTACTTGTATCATACCTGGAGTTCAGAACAAAAACACGAAAGTCTAAGAGAAGTTTTCACTAGTTTTTTTTTAATTCAATAAAATTTTGAAATACAACCTTGCATTTGTTTAATATTCCTACTAATGAATCTGAAAGTATCATGGCATGATACCACAGTTACAGAAATGATGGAATTTGTACCTGTTTACAGTGGCATTTTGTTTAGTTTCAAATTTAGGCAAATCCATTATTGTAATTTTCAAAAGGGCTCTGTCATTAGTGTCAAATGAGTACCACAATTTCAAAACTGGTCAAATCCAATCTATTAGTAGCCTTTCCCGTGCATTAAAGTATTCAAACAATGAAATAAGTGTTGCTCTTTAATAAACTCCTATATTAGTATGGAATTGTTAACATATCACAAAATTCCAGTGTATTGTGTTTGTCACATATACATGTTTATCTCCATTGTTGTAATTGGGTGGTTCTCCAAGTTTGACTCATTGTTGAATAACTGTGCTTTTTAGTTAAACCATTGTTTTGATGAAGTTTAGGCAATTTTACACAAGCCAGGATAGTCCGCTTCTGCTAAACATTCGAAGAGATCTGAACTGTTCAGTTCGAATGTTTAGAAGAAGCGGAACCAATTTGACTTGACAATGGCAAGTATGACCTTACCAAAACGTCGTCAAAACAATGGTTTTTCTGTTTATATAAAAACCAAAGTCATTTAACATGGAGTCAAACCTGGAAAACTGCAGAAATCACATATAGCTTCTGCATGTGCTTCTGAAACTTCAAATCCAATGTATAAATTATTATAAATTAAAATAAATAGGAATATGAATGGATAACATTAAACATATTATTAAATCCTGTTAAAAATAAAAATTACAATGAAATGTGAAATTATAGAGGATAGAATGAGTTAATAAGAAAAACAACCAAATACTATAGTAAGAATTATACAAATCTAGAACAATAAGATCCCGGTAGAGAAAAGGAAATACCGCCAATACGGGCTCAGAGCAAACTGAGCATTACTGAAACTGAAACGTAAAGAATAAGAAGAAATGCTAGAACATGACATAAAGGGTTCCATTCTATAGTGAGAAAATAGACTTAAATAAGTTTTGTTTTACTGTATACAAAAAAATTAATCTGTAAAAAAATGGATGTTGAAATTTTTATCTGTTTGTAGTTAATGCTTACTATTATCATATTTATAATATTTCATGATTAATATTTTTTTTAAATTCGGCACATTGCAAAAAAAAAGGAAAAAATGGTATGTTAATAATAATTATAGTTTTGCTTTTTTTGCTGTAAACAATGTTCCTCGTAATGCTCCTCACGCTGCTTATCTGTTGGAAAATCCAAAGTACATCGAACACATCTAAATGTTACATATATACATCCTTGGTGAAACTTTTCTTCTTCTGAAGATTTAAATGGTTTTTTACACCATCGGCATACAAATTTATGTTGGTCTTCAATATGCTGCTGTAGATGCTCATCTTTTCTAAATAATGTATCACAATGTGGACACGCAACCGTCAGATGTACACTTTTGTCGTGAAAATTTCTGACCTCAATGGAATTAAACGTTTCACTACAACCCGGGCATTGGAAACAATGTTTGACTTTAATATGCTGATCTAACTCTTTAACTGACCTGAAGTAACTATCGCAATGTTGACACTGCACTGTTAGATGTGTATATCCATCGTGAAAAGTTGCATCCTCAATGGATATAAATGATTCATCACAAAATGGGCATTTAATGCAATGTTTGGCTTTAATATGCAGCTGCAGTTGCTCGTTTGATTGGTAATATGCAGCACAATGTAGACACTTGATTTTTGAATGTTCGGTTTTATCGTGAGACTCGATTTCTTTCACATTTATAAACGATTTATCACAATATTTGCATTTAAAATAGTGTTCGGCTTCAATATGCTGCTGGATATTAATATAACCATTTGAGAATGATACACCACACTTGGCACATTTGTTATCACGGACACTAGACATTTTCAGAATTATTCCATTTAAAGAGATGGAAATCAGAAAAAAGAGAACTACTAACACAATGGAAATGATGAAACAAAAATCAAATAAAAATGTCTCCTTCTTCTTCACCAGCTAAAAAGTTATTATAGTGGCATCTGGCGTCATGCTTAAGGTCGATTCAGACACATCAGTCACGTCACAGTCACGGTACCGAACCGGTCCTATTTGGTCACAGAACTATCAACTATCTGACAGCTGGGAAACTGTTTGTCAACTCATGAGTGTGAATGCCGGCAACATATTTGTATTAAAGAATATTTTGTATGACGGATTGTCCGATTCGGCGCAATCACTGTGACGAGACGTGACTGATGTGTCTGAATTGACCTTTAGTCAAACTGGTCAAAGTCAGTAGTCAGTGATGCCGATGCCGATCGATGCCAGAGTCACAGCCACCTTTACTTCCAAGCCATGAAGTAAAAAAGGCAACACCGCATTCTATGACGTCGGTAGTCCGATAATCCGGTAAGGTCTACCAGAATATTAAACTAATTTGAATTTTAGGAAACTGATAATTACAGAAATATTTTTAGGGAAATTAAATTAATAAAACCTTATATATACCTAGTAAATATATATAAAGTTTTATTATTATTTAGGTTATATTATCAATAAAATAATCACTAGAGTAAAATTTATTGCACTTAAAATACAGTGTCAAACAGTTAATCTTACAATCAAATGCAGTCAAGAATCACTAGAAATTTTAAATATTTTAAGTACTTAAGCATATAAATAACACAAAACATTAACAGGACATTTAAAAAGATTATTAAAAATACAAAAGATATAAAATTTGTGATAAGTAAAAACTTAGTGTAACTATTATGATTAAAAAATTCATCCTAAGAAATCAGACACAATATAAATATGGTTCTAAATTAATCTAATTGAAAATTAAATATTTTACTATTTACTTATAACTTTTGTTGAATTTTCATACTTAGATATACAAAAGTAGCAATTTTAAATATTAATAGGTTTGTTGTCATATAGACCAAGTTAAAAGAGTTATACATGAAAAATGTGTTGAATGTAACATACCATTTATAACTTGTATATCGATTTAAAATAGCCTATATTCTCAAAAGATTTTTGAATGTAATACTCAAATTTGTTATCACTTATCTAAAAAGCAAATCTAATTGAGTAAGTAAGTTCTCTAATTGTGACCATCTTGTTAATTTACTATATTGTAAAATCCATTTCAAATCATTACCACTTAATCTATTCTTACCTACATTGACGATTACAGGATTACACTAAAATTACTGCTAACTATTACACTACATATTACACAAATATTATCACACTTGTGTTCCAACTGATTAATGTTTAATACATAGAAATATACACAATCACTTGTAATTTTACTTGTCCAGTTTTTCAATGGGATATTATTGTCTAAGTCTAATTGACATAATTATGTTATCTCTTGTTCCCTCTTCTTATGCACAAAGTTTCTTCTGTCTTCGGGATTCCTTCTTTCTTTAGTAGGATGAACAGTTACTATGATGATTGATGGTACTTCAGGAAATATATTAGGAACTGCATTGCCTTTTAATTTATGAAATATTAACTTTTCAATGTGTACATTTCCATCTTTATCTTCTCATTGTTCAGTTCGCTGAATACCATCTTCATGAAAAAGTTTGGCACATACTATGGAAGATTTGGTAATTGTACAGCCTTCTCTATGAATAGAGATTGGTTTTGCAACCAGGTACACAACAATGCCAGAGCATCTGTAACAAAAAACAAAAGTATTATTATTGTTGTTTTTAGTTTACATATTTTGTAACAAGAAACAAAAGTATTATTATTTTCAGTTTGTTTTGTAGGTTATATTCATACTTGCCTGTCGTTAAGAATCTTCTAGAAGTTCTAAATTTAATGAAATTTCACTTATATTAATATTTTCTAATTGATTTAAACACAATTTACAAATAAAACATTCGAATAAAGTTAAAAAACAATAAATTCAACAAACTTTACAATCCATTATGTTAAACCAAAACAAACCACAGTCGGACTACCACGCGTTGTTGCCAAATTTCTACTTCATGGCTTGGAAGTAAAGGTGGCTGTGCCAGAGTCGATTTCGAAGGTCGAAGCATAGAGAAATAAATGGGTCGAAGAGAAATCGTAAGATTGGAAAAAATAAATCGTAAGAAATCGTGAGAGTTCGCTACAGTTGAATTTTAAAGGAAATGGGAGTTTTTAAATGATATATAATTATACAAAACTATTTTAAATACTTTGTATTGATATATATTAATTATTGTATAAGTACATACTTAAAAATTAGTGTACTAGAAAAGGGCCTATTTTAGGGGAACCATCAGTATCAGATATAATTTTAGGAAATTACCTACCTACCTATATATATAATATACTGCAAGCTATGGATTTATCGATTCAATATTAGGCAATGATTATATAAAAGATTATATAAAATTGTAAACATTCTTTATAGTTTAAACTTCAATGAAAATTATAAACCTATTTTACCCAAAAATATTAAGTATAATATATACTATTAGGTATACATAAACCTAATTTTGTTTTCTGAGGATTTAACATTTTATCGGTACTTGTAGGATTTCAAAGTTATTGAAGATGAAATATAAAGTTATTGTTATATGCAATTGCTGATTTGTTTCATATGTCGAACGAGAACAATCATTTTGGTCTGTTGATCTTTTAATACAAAATTCCGGCTATTCTTGATATTTATTGATAAAATATACATAAACTTCAGTTATTTATGGACCGATATTTACACTTTCAAACAAAGCAATAAAGAAACTTTTAAGCTTTGTTTATATTATTTTGTGTATGTGTATACTAATTGGAGTAGTGCAAGCATTTTTGTATAAAAATATAGTTGATTTATGAATATTTCAAGGTGACAATCTAAGAGCACTTCAAAAATGCCGATTTTCTCGTATACATTTTATTAGGTACCCATTATTTATCTTTAGATTTAGTAACAGCCTAAAAATTTTAAAAATCGTAAGATATAAGACGTCAATCGTGAGATCGTGAGATTTGTCTTCAATTCGTGAGATCTCAGGATAAATCGTGAGGAGTGGCATCACTGGCATAGTGGTCGTCTGTGAAAAAAACCAGTAACAGAAATTGTTAAAAGCTTGATTTACACCCAAAAAGTTTTTAAAAAGTTTACTATATATTCTTCTTTTCTATATCGAATTTTCATTTGGTAGTCTTTACTCACTCTCACTAGCCACCTAGCTTTTCGAGAAACAAATAGAAGTAGAAGTATGGCTATGGACATATTCAGACATGTCCCGGATATGATTTCAGTTTTTGTTGAAACATATTCGTTTCGACGATAAAGCCACCAGGCAAGAAAGAGTAGAAGTCGACAAATTAGCTCCAATTAGGGAAATTTACGACGAGTTTGTATCCAATTTGTCCCAACATTACAATATGTCAGCATTCACCACGATTAACAAAAAACTCGAAGCATTTCGAGGTAAATGTCCTTTCAAAATGTATATGCCTAAAAAGCCGAATCGCTACTGAATAAAAATATATGCCTTAGTGGACGCTAAAATGTTTTACACTGCAAATTTGGAAGTGTTGTAGCATTTTCAATTTCATTGATTCTTTGAAGTATATTGAAAGCTCCTCGTATAATGAAATATATTAAAAACTCCTTATATATGTTTAAAAAATAAAACGAGGAATTCTTTCCGTTTAAGGCTGCCAGGTCTAGGGATTTATCCCGAATCTAGGGATATTTCAGTATAGAAGGGATATTTTTTGATATTTATTGTAAAATCTAGGGATTTTTGACCAGCTCAAATATTTACCTACAGATTCTGTCTCCGGCTTCTATAATATAAAAATGTAGCTTCTCCAATTTAAATTTTAAAGTGTTTGTTTGTCTTTAGTGTATTTGTTATGTCCCAGTTTACATGTATGACATTCGATTATTGCTGGATAGGCCACAATTGACGAAATGCCCCTGAGGATGATCTTGTGATCGAAAGTACTTGGGCAAGATTTAATTAAATACTGTGTTCGATATTTGCCTTGTGTACCATCAAACTTAATAATATATTAAATGAAATATTCAAAGCCATAAATAAGTATGTTATTCCATTTTTGTTAAATTTATTTAAATCATCGCTATTGTACCGTTTAAAAATGTAATGTTTTTGAAATAAAGCTATAAAACAACAATTATTTGTTTAGGTTGAGTTTATCGAAAGTACAAGCTGAATATAGCTGCAAATATATTTCGGCTTGGCAGTGTTTTCATGTTTTTATAATGCATATATTGTATGCTTCAAATATAAAGAGATAAAGCTTTTAAAAAGTACATTTTGATTATACTATTTTACGAATTCTGCAATTTTTAATTTATATGAAGTAGTAACGGGTAGATATTTGTCTCTTTCGAGATTAATTGCAAACATCTGTTGTAATCTGGCAACCGCTGATTTGACGATTGCCAAATCTATCCCCTAATCCACCAAAGGGTAATTGCTAAAAAAATTTATAATAATTAACTGCAATTAATCTCCAAAGAAACAAATATTTACTCATTGTTGTTGTATATAAACCAAAATTGCAGAATGCACAACATAATATAAATAAAATGTACTTTTCTAAAGCTTTATACTTTTATATTTTTGTTCCATGTTTAACATTTGCGGCTATAACCAGCTTGTACTTTCGGTAAACTCAACCATTTTTATATCCATATTATTATATTAGGCAACCATCAATACATCCCATCATTTTATTCAGAATTAGGCAACCATATGTACATTTATTCCAATCTAGGGATTTCTAGGGATATTTTAATGTTCAATTTAGGGAGGACAACAATTTTCACCTGGCAACCCTGACACTGCGTTTTTGTTAGTTCGTATCTTTCAAGTTTGAAATACGCATATTTGTCTTAGCATTGCTGGAGGTTAGTGTAA